TGGTCTTGAACTCCTGGCCTCAAGTGATCCATCTGCCTCAGCCTCCCAAAGTGCTGAGATTATAGTTGTGAGCCACCGCACCCAGCCCTTGCATATCTTCTTTGGAGATATATCTGTTCAAATCCTTTGCCCATTTAAAATTTTAATTTTAATTTTAATTATTTAAAGGTAGGGTCTTGCTCTGTCACCCAGGCTGGAGTGCAGTGCTGCAATCATAGCTCACTGTAACCTTAACCTTCTGGGCTCAAGTAGTCCTCCTGCCTCAGCCTCCTGAGTGGCTGGGACTACAAGTGTGCACCACCATGCCTGGCTCATTTTCTTTTTTTTCCAATTTTGTACAGACAGTCTCACTGTGTTGCCCAAACGAGTCTTGAACTCCCAAGCTCAAGCAGTCCTCCTGCCCCAGCCTCCCAGAGTGCTGGGATTACAGGGATGAGCCACTATGCCCAGGCAGAACTTTTTTTTTTTTCAGATGGAGTCTCACTCTGTCGCCCAGGCTGGAGTGCAGTGGTGCAATCTTGGCTTACTGCAACCTCCGCCTCCTGTGTTCAAGTGATTCTCCTGCCTCAGCCTCCAAGTAGCTGGGATTACAGGCGTGCGCCACCATGCCCAGCTAAATTTTGTATTTTTAGTAGAGATGGAGTTTTGCCATGTTGGCCAGGCTGGTCTCGAACTCCTGACCTCAGGTGATCTGCCCGCCTTGGCCTCCCAAAGTGCTGGGATTACAGACGTGAACCACCCCTTTTTGGCCAGAATTTTTAAAATTCATTTTTTTCCAGTTGGTTTATTGCAAGTGTTTAGAAATAAAATTAACTGTTGTACATTGATCTTGTGTCCTGCAATATGTTTAACTCATCTGGTCTCTCCTTTTTTCAGATCCCATTTAAAATTCTGAGTGGGCACGAGCATGCTGTGAGCACCTGTCACTTCTGTGTGGATGACACAAAGCTCCTCAGTGGCTCCCATGACTGCACGGTGAAGCTGTGGGTAGGTGGCCCACTGGCAGGTGCTCCCGGAGCGAAAACCTTTCTTAAGCTTAGGCACCTCCCATGTCGAGTTCCCCAGCACTAAACTCGCAGGCACTTGTGGGTCCTGGTTTGCAGGTCTTCTGAGCAAAGTGCCAGAAGGAGGGGAAGGTGAGATGCCAGCCTGGATGAAGTTAGGGTGGCTGCTGCCAGCTTGTGGGCCTGGAAACAGTGGGAATGGGATGGAGACCTCTGGACTGAGAGCGCCACACTTTTTTGTTTTGAGACGGGGTTTTGATCTTGTTGCCCAGGCTGGAGTGCATTGGTGTGATCTCGGCTCACTGCAACCTCCGCCTACTGGGTTCAAGCCATTCTCCTGCCTCAGCCTCCCAAGTAGCTGGGATTACAGTAGCTGGGATTACAGGCATGTGCCACCACACCCAGCTAATTTTTTTTTTTTTTAGTAGAGATCGGGTTTCACCATGTTGGTCAGGCTGGTCTTGAACTCCTGACCTCAGGTGATCCACCCACCTCAGCCTCCCAAAGTGCTGGGATT